CTCCACCCCCAGGTTCACATGAAGTTCACATATCGCTAATGGGTGAGACTGGCTAGTTCTACCCAAGTCAGCATCTTTAAACCTGTAAGGCCCAGCCCAGATACTGCTGGTAGAGTCATTAAGCCTTGTCTAGGGACTTCAGCCCTGAGACCCCCTGGGGGAGATGAAGACAAGCCTTGAGAGCCCAGGAACAGAGTAAGTTCCTGTCTGTTTCTCAGGCGCTAATCCAAATGAGCCCGTCGGAATCATGAACAGGAGTGGTCACTGACGTGGGATGCCGATGTGAACCTGTTGACTGTGCTCTCCGCCTACGGAGCATCCGGCCTGCACCAGCCTTTCCAGCTTGTCCTTGAGGATGGGCCTCATTGTGACCACCAGAGGGCAGCAAAAACCAGCAATGGTGGAGCAAGGCACATTTGCCTAACGGAAAAATCAAGTAAAAAAGAACAAAATGGCATTAGTGTAGTTCCAGGCCCTGAGCACAAGGGTTCAAGCAGCAGAATGAAGGGAGGTCCCAGTAGCTGCTAAGAAAACATAGCTTGTGCCTTCATGTGACACAGACATGGGGAGGTTTGCTAATAATCATTGATTTAAAACAGAGAGTCATCACTTTTGTGCTCAGCCATGGACCCCTTTGACAGTCTGGTGAAGGTATGGAACCCTGCTCGACAGAACGCTTTTAAATGCAAAACAGGAGATGCTAGGATTACAAGGGAAACCAATTACACTGCATGTGTAGTTAGCAAATTATGAAAAAATGTGGTACAGAGATATATGCATCTCTTCACTAAGATCATAAGGAGCAAGACAAAACTTTGAAAAAAACTCACTGCCATTGAGTCGACTCCGACTCAGCAACCCCTCCTTAGGTTTCTGAGGTGACATCTCTATTGAAGGAACAGGACAGTTGATTGAATACCTTTGTTGTTTTGAAGTTGTCATCAGCCTTTGTTTTTGAGATATCTGGAACCCCTGTAAGGTGATATGAAAATCCCTGTGGTTTCTTTTGGCAGTGACAACGTCACAGGGCTGGATAATACACTTGAAGTTTATTAATTGCATTCATACATTTCAGTTAGAGGTTATGAAAATCAAGCTGTAAGTTTTCCCCATCCAATTTCATGGACCCTCTGAATATTGTCCATGGACCTCAAAGGCCTGCAGTTCACAGCTGAAGAACCTCTAGGAGAACTGGAGGCACAGGGACCCACAGGAGTGGGAGGAACTGCTTCTTTATCCACAAAGGGATAGAGCTCTGTCCCCAGACCCACTGAGCCCAGCCTCACTCCTGCTGTCTCAATAGAAATGGCCCAGGGTGACCAGTGGGACTTTTGCTGGCCATCTTTGTTTGTTTTCCCTGATTGGCTTCTGGTCCCTGCAGTGGGGCTTACCAAAGCTTTTGGACACGGCCAGGATCATAATCCACTGGAAAAGTCTTGGCTGCTGCCTGTAGGCTTGCTGTTACTGCCCTGGCGGCAGGAGAAAACCAGGATGTGCCCACCAGCTGGGCGTCTGGATCCCAGCACCGGGAGAGGGACCCCAGGGGAGACCACAGTACTGGCTGAGGCTGAAGCATTAGAGTTACCGTTGTCACACAATAATGTTACACTAGTAACAGGCTTACACAGCAATATATCATTAATATTATTAACAATAGATTATTAACATCATTACATAGTAATATAGTATCAATATAATTACATAATAACATTATCTCATTACATAACATTATACCATTACATGACGTTGTACCATTAATATTATATTAGGGAGCCCCAGTGGTGCCACAGTTAAGTGCTTGGCCACCAACCAGAGGTTAGTGGTTTGAACTCATCCTGAGGCTTCCCAAGAGGATAGACCTGGAAATCTGCCCCTGCAAAGATTATAGCCTAGAACACTCTATGGGGCAGCCATTCTACTCAGTCATGTGGGTCACTAAGAGTCAAAAACCAACTTGATGGCACCTATTATA